TAGGAACTAAAGGAAATAATAATAATAATAATGTGGCGATCTGATGAATGCATGACTTGTTTCTCCTGAATCCAGCCTGTTCCGGTCGAAGTTTTTCATCCAGATTGGCTTGTTTGATTCTCTCCTGGATGATGCGGCTTAGTATTTTGCTTGGGATGGACAGCAGCATAATTCCGCGCCATTTCGTGCATTGACTTAGGTCTCCTTTGTTTGGTAGTTTGAATAAGTATCCTTTCTTCCAATCTTCAGGTACTTTGCCATCTTTCCACACTTTCTCCAGTAGTGGCGTCATCAAGTCCGCTGTTGTCTCTGGGTCTATTTTCAATGCTTCTGCTGGGATTCCATCTGGTCCTGCTGCTTTTCCAGCTTTTAGCATTTTGATTGCCTTCAGGACTTCTGATTTCGTCGGGGGGTTGGTGTTCACTGGTAACTCTGTCTCCGTTGCTGGTATTGTTGGGCGAGTTGTAGGTGAAAATTCCTTACTGTATATAAACACATTGTCTAGAAGCAGACCATTGTTATTGTTGTTATACTACTCAAATGGTAGTGAAATTTTTGTCTTCACTAAAATTTTGTAAAAAACGAAATACCTTGAGTATCTTTACGCTTATGCAAAAAAGTGATTTTCTTTTCTACTATAAATGAGCATTCAGACGTGTTTTTATAACCAAGAAATAGTACACATGCAAGTTTAGATCTATTTTTCTGAAAAGTCTTCGATATTTCTATCTGTTTTACTCCTTTCTAATTAAGATTTTAATTATTTAGAACTAAAATTTCAGATGACATTATTTCGTGTCTTAATTTATCCAACTTCTACACACTTTTAATTAAGGTTTATTAAGAAAAAAATCTACTCTGAAGAAAAATGTCTTCAAATTACTGATTGGCATAATTTCGTATTGGTTAGCAGATGTATTTCTAAATTAAGGAAAGGTTTCTTTTGTTGTGAACATATATATATATATTACTTAAATAAATAATAAAGTTTGTGATTTTGTAAACATGTGTATTTATGATTTTTCTTCAGCTGTGAATATTAAGCTGAAAATTGTTATCAGTCAAATTAATTGAAATACTTTCGACTACTGGGACTTGTGAATTTTCTCTTATTTCAATTTCACGATTTGATGATATGCTGAGGTAAACTTGATGACTAGTAGGAACACTACCATCCAATGGAATGCAATCACATCCAGCCGAAGATTATGAAATAGGACGAAAAGTGCGCATGCTGAACTCCATTAGACTTATGCATAGACTTCGATTTTACCTATGATACAACTTTTGTGTCAGCAACAATTTTTCACTCATATTTTGAAAGTCTGTTAAATGTTGAATGTTTAATTATATTGGAAACAAGCTTTTCTTGATGCTAGTAACTTGTTCAGGCTTTCGATAAATTATCAACTCTGTATTCAAAATGATTCCCTTTTTAGGCTATGACAAATCTGATGTCTCATCATCTATTGAGTTCAATGAACAGCGACAAATTCTTTATTAGTTATTTCTGTCAAATTTCCATCTCTTCAGTTACTATTTTTAATTTTCTTTCAGTTCCGAGGGGGACATAGAACTGCAAGCTTTGAGCCTAAAAGCTTTCACAGCGGTGATGGTGTCTTCACAGGGTGTGGGGCTTCTAGACTCAATCCCAACCTTCCCTGTTTTACGGACTGATGATCTACCAGCTAGTAGACTAGGCTAGATTTAAGAGTGTGTTGGGTAGGGAGACAAACCCGAACTCCCGGGTGGCTGGCGAACATTCTAGCACTAAATTACCTGCGCACTTTGGTAATTACTGAAAGCTGACTGGTAAGGCTTAATATCACGCATTTTTTGCTTTCATCTCAGGGTTTACTGTTAGCTTAACTAGGAAACCTATTATATCATCTGACTGAGTAATTTAAAATCTTTGTGCACAGCAAAAAGAATAAATTTCTATTGAATATACTGTTTTATAAATTACGGGGAATCATATTCCATGTAATAACTAAGTCTTCATTATCACAGAATCCGACCTGACGTAATAAACGGCTTTTGTATTTTAGGAATTCAAATTGCCCGTTTAATAAATTTATCATATTGCTAAATGTTCCCAGATTCTCACCGTACATTATTATTCAACTATACAGTGAATCTGCCTTTGTGTCATTAGAAACTCTGTGACATAAGTTTAGTCAGCTCTGAAGTTCATTAATATAATTTAATTGGATCGAGGATTTCATCATGAGTTGACATCAGTTAGAGAATCACTGAAAAACCTAGGAGTACTGGACAGCTGTTTCGTCCTAGTTTGGGACTCTTCATCAGTATGCACCCACCAGGGGGTTCGAACCCAGGACAAAACCAATACTTGATAATATAATTTCAGATTTCTAGCCATTAGAAAGTGAGAAATGTGAAATATTTGCCGCTTAAGCAGCTCACATAGAAAACATTTTTGACTTTTGCATTATATATATAGTTTTGGAGCTAAATTTCTCTACATGCTTATCTATGCCCTGGAAGTGGTTAGTATGAACACTGAAATCAAATAATGTCCTCATTTTGTCTTTAGCAATGTCACGTTTTTATTTTCTGACATACTGTTTTAATTTTTCAATGAATTTTCGGAATTCAACATCACTGTTCACTTTACTGAGCTCCATTTCATTATCTAACTGAATATGCTGATATCTTTTGTTATTTCTGAGGCTCCCTATTCAATACCTCTCAGTAACTCAGGTTGCTAGTCCACATTCACTTATCAATCCATTTTATATTAAATTCCTATCCACTTTTTTATTTAGATTATGTAATCTACTTGTCATTCCCTAATTTGAAACAGTAAGTTAAATTATAGCTGTAGTGGTAAACTCCAACGAACATATAATATTCAAAGGTTACTGTACAGCTGAGTAATGGTTACCTTTAAGGATTTTCCTAAATTTTATTCTACATTTGAGGAAGGGACATTTACTTCGATTAAGTAGCTTTCAGAACAATCCAGTTATCATTTTAAATATTTTTATTGTTCTACAGAAACTATTTTTACAGTTATATAACCTTGAACTTTTCATTTTCAAATATTGATTATTATAATTATACTAGTATCATTCCTATTATCGCAATTCAGTGGTTTTAAAAAATCAGGGAAATAATGGGAAATCTTTATCCCCATAGTTGAGCCTGCTTCACCCTAATGTAGATGTTGCTATTGTTTAAAGCCGATTGGAAAGCTTTTTAAGGCTGTTTAATATAAGATAAAGGTAGGAAGTGAGGTAAGCATACTTTAAAGCCGTTCGACCGGATAACCTAATTCTGTTAAATGCGAAGAGTACTTTCACCAGCTATATAGATCTGACTACACCAATTTATCGTGCTACTTAATCTGTCTATCTAGTGTGTTTGTCATATGAACTCAGTATACTTTCTATTTTAAATATGAGAAAATAAATAGAAGGAATTAACTTTATTTTGTTAGATTATTTCCTGAATTTTAGTTTTGTTAAATAGAAGATAAAATTTTAGGTCATACTTTTAAATGTAAAATCTCTATTTTTTTCATTTTCATTTAATGCAGTCTATGTTATATAAATTTTTCCCTTATAGGTGTCTACACAAGCGGCATTGTTAATGTTAACAATGACCTCAATTTTCCTCTAATGCTTGTGTGAGGGAACAGTGATTAATAGTCTTAATGTTATTCAATAATACAAGGTTACCTGTTTTGGTTGTGGCTGGCAGGAGAATCCACTTAGCATTTTTCATCTTATTTGGGACTCGTCAGTCGAATGTATTTATTACCCAGTGAGTGATGGTATTCCTACCAGGACCGGAATCCGGTAACCATCATTTCAGACGCCAAAACTCTTATACACTAAGTCAACTGGTCACTGGTACTATGTGAAACTATTCATTCATATTTATGATGTACCGTTGATTTCACCATTAATTTAGTATACAGCTTGCTTCAGCGGATGCAGATAAGTCTTAAATAGGACGAGAAGCACATCCCGGATTCTGCTGTTGGCTACAATTAAACAACTAACTTCTAGTTCTTTATTCTGGTAGTACTGAACCATCCATTTTTAGAGCTCATACACCAGGGATAGAATGCTAGTTAACCTCACAGTTGACTTGGTTTCGATTCCTGACCAGTGCACTACTAAACCCCATCTAACCAGCAGTAAGCCCTGAAAAAAGGGGAGGTTAAGTGTAGGGCTATCAGCTCAACCCCGCAAAAACAACGCCACCTCTGTTTAGACTTCAAAGCTTAAGGCTTGAAACCCTGTGTTCCATTCGGGATGGAAAAAAATGCAGTAAAACCAAACTGAAGCTGACCAGTCAAGGTTAGCTATATCATTTGGAAATCACAGAGATGAACAAACAGTACTCAAGAATAGTCTACCTATAATATCCACCGAAGAAATATAGTACTCAAAAATATAGGCGCATTATTCTCTAAACACTGTTAAACAGAATTTACATTTCTTTTCTTCTACCCTTCGATTTTATAAAACTACTTGTGTTTTTCGTTTAATGCTAAAAAGACGAAACTTGGAGAAGAAACCTAAAGCAAAGCATATATATATAATTTAATAAAATTTGACAATTTACTTAATTCTTGAATTTTTATTGTTAACTTTTTTCAAAATAGGAATCCAATAATCTTCTGTTTAGTTAAGTAGTTATTCAGACTATATATCTAGCAACATAATTTTATTCTTTTCCTTGTGACAAATTGAAAATATGGTGACAGAGAAGGAAAATTTCTCTTTTCAACGAAGTCACCAACTAAGCTGTACATTCGACAGTATCGAGTAAATAGGTGAGAAAGTTCCCTGAAAAATGTATTTTTAGGTTTATTTTTTATTGATAAAGAAATAATTTCCCTCTCCTTTTCCTAGCAAAGAGGAATTCTGTGTATGACTGATAAAAAAATTTTATAGGGTTTTCAAATTTCTCTGCCCAAATTTATTTATTTTTTTAAAGTTTTTATTGTTCTCTATATTTCATAGACAATTTATGGAGGAGGATGATTGGAGTACATTATTGTTTGAGACAATTTCCTTCAACTGTTGATAATATAACTAATTATCAAATGTAAGCATGGCAGAGAATACATATATTTTTATTTAACTTACAGAAAAATCAATTAACTTAGGTAGTTTGTAATGCAAAAATTAGAAAAGTTGAGAGCCACAATAGGGTGCTTATTATTCAGAACAAGAATATGAATCCCATTATGGGTAAAATTTATTTTGATAGAGTCTCACAGTAATATTTACTGATGACCACATTTCGAGCATAATTTATTGCTCATAATTATATCAAGGCACTGCTCACACAGCTTTCTAACTTCGTTTATATAATTCCATTATTTTTCCTCGCTTGATTTATTGGTAGTAGTATTTTCCATATTTCCGGTATGGGTGACGAGTCATTGCTATCGCACGTGTTGGGTGTAGACTCGATGAACAAAGATTCAGTAATCAAACTCTATCTCCACATACCTATGTTACTTCTTAGAATTTTAACCTTCTCCCACCCTATTGTATGTTTGTGTTTTAATGCATACAGTGCAATCGCTGAGCTTTTTTCTAAATTACCTATCTTCGCCGGTGGGGTCAACCATTCTTACCTTAGCCAAATTCTTATGTTCCAACAATCTGACTAGCCCTCAACCTACTAATTTGACCTATGTAGTTGGCCTAATAGTCATTGCAAGGTATTTTGTGAATTATATTATTTTGTCTAACTGGGTCAGTTGGGTCCTTTTACCTACATAGCTTGTCCCTGAGTGAGTTTGTAGGTTTAAATGTCACTCTAACTCCTGCTTTACTAAGAATCCTACGTAGGGTCTCAGATGTCCCCACCTTATATGGTATAACAGCAGATGCCTTATATTCTTTCTTATTTGTGTTATCATTATTAGTTTCGCGGTCATTTTATTTTGCTTTTGACCTTCCTAATGAATTTTATAGGATAGTTATTTGATACCAATGCTTATTCTATCTGTTTTATTTCATCAATTAGATCTTTTCTTGTACTACTTAGTGCTACTGCTCAATTTTTTAGACGCTCAACTAAGCGAGTCTTAACAGCTGGCAGATGAGATAAATGAAAGTCTAAATATCTATTAGAATGCGTTGGTTTCTTATAAACGCTAGTGTGTAGTCTACCTTCTTCTATTCGTTTTATTTTGCAATCGAACATAACTAATTCTCCTTGTTTATTTTCCGATTAAAATGTGAATTTTATTCCCTCCACTAGTGAGTTTATGTGTCAAGAAGCTAGAGATATGTTCTGATTTCAACACTGTGAAAATGTCATCCACATATCTCTACCATATTTTTGGAGTAAGATTAAATGTATTTAGAGCAATATTTTCCCAGGTATCAATAAAGATGTCTGCTACGATAGGGGATATTGGTGATCCCATTGCTACACCTTCAGTTTGTTTATATATTTTGCCTTGGAATTCAAAGATAGTAGATGTGAGACATAACTGAATTCCTAAAATAATTTCCTCAATGGGCAGCTTCGTCCTATGAGTAAGATCAGGATCTGCAGTTAGTTCTTTTTTAACTGCTTCTAAGGCCATATTGATTGGTATATTAGTATAAATACTAGTTATATCAAAAGTAACCAATGTTTCATCATTCTCTAGTTAAACGCAAATATCACTAAATATTACTGTATAACACTGTGAGACTTTATGAAAATAAATTCTACCCATAATGGAATTATACTCTACCACAGTGCACAAGTTCTATTCTTATATCAAGCATATGAATGTTGTAGAATAGAAAGTAAGATTTAAGTAGTAGTAGTAGTGGTAGTATAGTCCCAAAAGACAGTAGAATTTATTAACAATTTCAAATAATTCGACATTTGAAATCGTTCAAAAAAGCGTTTCCTGATGCTCTTTGAACAGCTATTACAATGAAGGAAAGCAGCTGCCGTTATACGGTATGTTGCTAGGCCTTAAATCGGCTTTATGGTTTCGTTTCGAGCATTTTAGCCCTATTTATTGGTATCCTAATGATGGCTTCTACACTGAAATCCAAATATTAAACTCAGTATTTTATACATTAGGAAATTAGCTTTCAAAGTTAATATGTTGTGATGTCATTGTCTGTTAAAAACATTTTTCTGTTGTTGGAGATTTTATATTTCCTTTTGTTAAAAAGAAAAACGACTAATGAACTTGCTGTCTGTGTTAACATCAGTCTGCTAACAACAACACAACTGGATTTGAGTGGTGAATTTTAAATGTGCCAGTATGCATTCATAGATGCCACTGAAGATTTAATTGCTAATTCCCAAGAAGGACCTCAATAATTGTTGGAACTTTCAGTCTTGTATACCAAAGGAAAATGAAAAATTTTTATAATCATTAAATTTCCTTCATATTTAAATTAAAACTATATACAATCACTTGTTTTCATAAATTGTTGTAGAGTGGGAATAAGAAACTCTTTTGGGTGAAATGAATTCGTCTGACTGATTTCGAATGTCGTAAATATTCTTTATACCCATACAATCAACCATATTTAGGTGTTAATATATGTGTAAAACTTGGGCACTGTGGTAGTAAGTAATTCCATATTAGTTTGTTTATTAGGTATATCACAGTGAAACAGTATTATTTATTGGATGACGTTTCGAACAAAATTTATTGTTCATAATCATATCAATTGTGATCACACGACTTTGACACTTGAGTTTTAGATATTTTTATATTTAGGTGTTACTGAGAGATTCAAATAATTTAAATTAGTTCAACGATATATATATGTATTACTTGTTTTATGGTCGGAGACAACTCTCAGAAAGTTCAAGACCTCGATTTCGTGCTTACTGACTGACATATCAATAAAGCGGATCTAAAACCTTCCGAGAAACGTTACTGGTTACCCTCTGGTAACCAGTCAGTTTTCCCAAAAAAGTCTTGAAAGAGGTCAAGTCGTCTCCTAGAACAGCTGAGTGGTAAAGTGTCTGACAGCAGCATGTTCGGATCCTCGATGGAATTTGAGTCCACTCGAGTCCACAGATCCACCTTGATGATGAATGCCAATAAGCATAGAATAAAGATCCAGAGCTTCCCACCAACCATCTTTGCATCAGTTCAAATTACAGAGTGGTGACTAGGTGCCTAGATGAAATGGGCGAATTTTAAACTTGATCGATAAAATTTTGTCAGCATCAATATATACATAAATCTTATACCGATCTGAGACAAAAAGTTGTCATCATATTAGTCAAACACCTTATATTATCATTTTAACCTTTTAGGTTTACTATACAGAGTCATCTTGGCTTGAAATTCAAGGAACAGTAACTCTGTCACAGAATATATCTCTGACTACAATGCAAATTCTTCCGCACTAATGGCGTCTGAATTAAAAGATATGAATGAAAAAGCAGACGACGGATACAGTCTATTATCTTATTTGAAAGTTCTCCCTGGACATTCAGATAATAGGCGATTGAAAGTGAAATGGGATTGGAGCTCGATGGAAATTGCTCAGAGTCTACTTCAACAAGCTAAAGTATGTACTTTCTCTTTATGTATTATTTAAGTTTACTTGTATCTATTTTATTTTCAACCACATTTTACCTGCAAGGAAATACAGGTAAAAAAGGGTATTAATCTAAGATTTTTGCTTCCTGATTATCGTCTTCAATTTTTCATTCCCTGAAACTAGAAAAATAATACTCAGTATAAAATTTTAATCTGTGATCTGCGGTACTGGAGCTACACACACTGTCAGTAAGAATAATTTACTTTGATTTATCTTTTCTGGGACAAAATTTAAACAAACAGATCTCCCAATAATATTTTTTAACGAATGTTTGCTTGCATAAAGCTTAGGTTGATAAACGTTTTCTCCAACAGGCAACTGTCAGATGTTGTATATAAAGGGTGAACATACATAGTAATAGCAATGCATAGCACTACAGACAAGTTTCGATCACTAATGCATGTAGATTTAATTTGAGTATAGTTTTCTTAGTCCTCTGCACAGTTAATACTGACAATAGAGGGTTTAAGCTTAAATATAACTAAAAGAGTTGACTTATTTGGTTGTAAAGTCCAAAAGCACCAAATTACTACAACAGAGATAAATACAAAACTGTTTTCCTTGAGACAAAGAAAGAAGTATTGACGAACTGCATTAATGTATGAACGAAAGTGTTAGAGCAGTGTCGTATTTACATGCATATCTGAGTGGAGAAATACTGGAATTCTCTGAAACTGATGTTGAAGGAAACATTTACAGCCCTTTTAAAAGCAAGAAGAGGCAAGCTAGAAGGAATGGCTCTTTACAGACACGAGGAAGCTGGTAGAGTAGAGAAGAATGATGAAACAAATGAACCACTGCAAGATGAACAAGTAATGCAAAAGGTGAGTATGATCTAAGGAAAAGTGCTGAGAAAAACAAAAGAGAGGTGGTGGAGATGCTCGACCTACAGTTTCACTTCCAACCACAGTCAATGGAAGAAATGTAAACGAATTCATCAGCTTCATTTATCTTAACAGGCACCATCGTTTCAACTACATGAGACACGAATGAGGATGTTGAAACCAGCCAGGATCAGATCGGGAAAGAAAGACAGATGTTCATTTCTCTGAAATCCCTGTGGAGATCGACAGCAAACAGGACAAGAAATAAGATCCAAATTTTGAACAGTAATGTTAAGTCGATGCATATGCATCGTCTAAATACGTGGCATATCACAGGAAGTATTTCCAACAGGCTGTAGATTCTCAGTAACACAAACCTTTCCTCCACACTACAGGTCAGATGACTAGAAAGGATCAGCACACAACACGGATCTCCGACAGGCAGCGAAACAACCAAGAACTTATTGTCCAACAATCTTGTGATATCACATGCCAGTTCCTCCAAAGGAACTCAAATGAGTAGCGACGGGGTGGATATTTGAGGGTGACATGCAGATTATGTGAAGAGGAAATTGAAACTGTCGGACAGTCGTGAGACCAGATGAGACTGATGGCGGAGAACTGAGTACATTTGAGGTTTGTCGCTGATGTCTTACGTTCCACTCGGAACCAAGAGAATGAATCATGAAAATATAAACTTGAAAAGATAACACTTCTATTCATACAAAGGTTGGGTATTATAATTCGGTTTTAAACTGTTTAAAAAGTGATACTTTCTGAGATGTATCATAGATCGAAAGTTATACAGTACCCATCAGAAATGCAAAATTATTTGTAGCATACAATATTCACTTTCACAATGAATAATAAACGGTTATAAAATAGCCCTTGTAACCTTATATATATATATATATATATATACATAAATTAGATAAATATTTTTATCCTATTAGTTTGCCTTCCAAATGGAACAAACGATTTCCAGCTTGAGCTTTCTGAATTTTCAGTAGCAGTGGTGTTTTCTATAGGATGAGGTTGTTAACTTTACAACCAACTTTCCCTCCTTACTGGGCTTACTACCAAGTGAGCAAGGCTTAGGAATACTTCGGCCGGAAATCGAATCCCTGACCATTCTACCCCTAAACCACTAACGCAAAGATGAAAGGATTGTGTAACTTTTGGATAAAGAAACCAAATTAGTGGAACAGACACTCAAGTAAATCGTTAGTGAATTTGTATCCGAGAAAGCCAGAGAGAAGTAAGTTTTTCAGTTAATCGTAATTAGAATTAAACTGAGAAACTTTAAACTCTGAAGATAAATTAATTGCTAAAGAGATGAATAGTTCTTTATTAATACTGAACGGTTACTTGGTTTCAATGAAAGTAAATCCCGAATTTCAGCTAGCGTAGAGAATAATTATACTAAGTCTGCAATATGATCCCCAACATGTAAGTGATACAACACTGGAATAATAGATATAAATTGGTCTTAATCTTACTTTTACGTTTGCCAAATCTAGTTTCATAATATTGAAGGTAATCGTTCCTTCTCTTAAAAGTGAATCATGCGTCAGTTAGTAATTAAGTCAAAATATTTTTTATCACTAAGATTTTCGAATTACAACGGGTGCCCATCAGAAGAGCGCTAATTGGTTTTTGGAAGTAAAAAAAATATAATCAGATGGGTTTATTCACATTTAGTTGTGCTTCAGTAGTTCAGTCGTATAATGCTCACCAACCACGCACAAGAACTGGGTTCGACTGCTGGCCGACACACTCCTAAACCTCGTTCAGCCGTTAGTAAATCTGGCAAAAAGAGAGTAGGTTGGACGAGAGGCTAACAACATACAACTCGCAAAAATACAACACCACCACTACTGCAACTCCAAGGGTTAAACAGCTTGATGCTTTATGTTCCACTAGGAACGCAAATGTATGGTTATCATCGACATTATTCTTGTTTACGTAAATTTAGGAATATTTTTTTTGCTGTAAAATAATTTATTTAATCTATGTTTATTATTTTAAATATTTTGCAGATTTTATATTATAATAACTTTGATGTCGATATTTCTGGGCAAGAGATTATACAAGATTATAAAGTGAAAGAATTTGATTTGACTAATCTTCATCCTGATACAAAGTATTTAATATGTTTCCGTGTTACACGTAAGCGATTTCTTTCACTAGATCTGAGTAACAATGAAACTGTAACAGTTAAACCACCATTGCTTCTTCGTTCAAATATTACAAAAGCATTGGATAGAAATTCTTCTATTAATAAACCTTATCTACGGAATATTGTTCTTGAAAAGACTGGTAGTGCTAGTCAATTGATTTTCAATGATAACTCATCATTGAATCGGTCACATCGTCTACACTCGATAAATATACCTAAAATGAATGATGAATATGTCGCTGAAATGAAATGTCAAGTAACATTCACGCAGTTTTTACACTGGACAGCAATTCTATGCAGTTTAATTGGTATAATTGTTGCCTTAATTTTATCAATTATAATATTTCTTGTCTTGAAATCCCGTGCTTACAGAACAAAACATCATGATAGAAAAATGTTTTTAAATCAAAAAGGCCAGTTATCAGCACGTAGAATTGGAAGTGGTGAAGATGAAGAAGACGGTGAGGATATGTCCAATGCGAATAAATTACGTCATCCGCATAATCATCCTCACCACCATCATCATCATCACCATCATCCTCATTCTGCACATCATCATCATCATTGTCATCATGTACCACATCCACACAATCAAAATCAACATCATGCTCATTATCATTGTCATTTGAATTCTTCAAAAAAGTCATTAGTTAAACCGGAACATTCTACACGATGTGCAAATCATCAAAAAACTAAATCCTCTTCATCATCGTCACTATCTTCACCATCTTGTCTTAAGTCATCCGATAAGACGGGAATAATTCGAGATAAATCATCAAGACATAATTTAACAACTACAGAAGTGGTTTGTGAAACGCATTCAATGAAGCCCAATAATAATAATAATACAAATGAGTTACATTTATCTGAAAAACAATTAGAAGATTGGGAGAATGAATTAAAGAATATTGAAGAATCCAATGATACTGTAACTGATAATACTAAAAAATCAATACCCGTAGTAAAACCTCCTGATGTTGTTAAGAATAATATCTGCATACCTTCTGTGAATAGTGTTAAAACTCAAAAGACATCACAAACTATTCAACAGGATTCAGTAACACTACTAGAAAGTATAGAATCTGTTAAAGAGATGGAGACGAAGAGGACAGTTTCTTTTAAAGATGATACACCTGTACAAATAAATCAAAATCCACTGAAAAAAGATGTACACTTGACAAATATGACATCAACACACTCGACTTCATTTGATTCGCACAGCGATGACATGTATAATTTGAGCAAACCAATTAGTATATCCGCTAGAGAATCCCATCTTATACACTCTAGACATCATATACCAGAAAATCTCATATCCGATGGAAATAATGATTCTTTATTGTTTAATTCAAAGCATTCTATAAATAAACAAGTCAGCGTTAACAAAAATTTATCTTATTCCAGTAATAATAAAGACTACAATAAAAAGTATGAAATATGTAGTCCACTACTCAGTGATATTGAACAAAAACCACAATCACCGTCTATTTATGATAAAAATCAAAATGACTTTAACACTCCTTTAATACCCAATTCATCAAATATTCAAGGAGTGACTACATTAGTCCCTAGTGTACAAAACCCATCAACAACTGGGAGAAAATTAGCTACACCAACAACGACAACAGATAATAATATACTACTGAGTACATCAACAGATAGTAGAAAAAATTTTCTTGAAAACGATAAAAATTGGCTTCTGACAACCAAAGAATCATCAAATCTGTTAATAGGTCAAAATGAACAAAAGTCTATTTTTCATACACAATTAATTGAAACCCTGTGATATACTGTTACTATTAATATTATTCTATACCATATATATAATTATGAAAGATTAACACTACTAAAGTGGTGTGCATCTTTCTGCTGTTGTTTTGTTTTTGTTTTTACAGAATCGTCTTTAACCTGTAAACAGTACACAGGAGAGAAGTCTCCGTGTATATTAGTCTTTCTTGTATGTATATTTCCAAAGTTCTTTCGTTTTTACAAACAACCATGCTGACTCAACGATTGTGTAACAGATGTTCTCATGTCTTTTAACTTCCTCTTCTTTTCTTATATTGTTAATATAACACTAATTTTATTTGTTTAATTTAACAGGAAAAAGTAGCAGACAGAAGTATTTTATTGTCAGTGGTTTTGATTGTTATAAGCACGGTTGTATCTGTTCCCACTACCAGTACGACTAGCAACAACTGCTACTACTAATAATACTACAAACACTACAGCTTCATCAGTGTCATCAATGACAAGATATACTGTTTTAAAATTACACCTAATATTAAATTGTTCTCACTTCATTTATTTCTGTTTTCATTTCTTGGTTGACTGGTAAATGAAAAATGCTATGAAGGTAAACTTGATCAGAAATCTGTAGTTTTGTTATACCTTTGTTATAACTTCAAAGACTGTGTTAAACGGTTTGTGTTCATTTGTGTAAGAAAGTTCATTTTGGTGTTTTTTACCTCTGCTTAAATTTTGTCAACAAAAAAAACCAGTTAGGCATAATACATTTTTCTGGAGAAATGAATCTATGATTTCTTTCATTTCTTTCCCTCAAAGTCAGTTAAACTACTGATGATAACACTTTACATTTTGAGTGAAGATTCGAAGCTGTCTTATTGATGTGTTCTATGATGGGAATCTAAAAGGGGGCGATTCACTCGATAAAATTTCTCCGTTGATACTACTGAACCTAATCTAACAATAAATCTAAGTGTTGGGGACGATTCATGTCATTTTCTAAACTGGTAACTACTAAACTATCAACTCAACGTAGGAAGTGCAGACAATTCCGTACATAAGACTTCTGAACTTCTAAAGACTAGAGGTGAATCACAGAAGTCAAGTATATTGCCTGGGAGTGCTGTATAAATATGCATATGCATTGACATTCGTATTTCTCTTCATGCTTAATTTTACCAAGGAAATTTTTTGGCACCTGTAAATTAGGATAATATTTAAGAAAATTACAAACATTTAACCAGTATTACATTACATTTCTAGTATTGAACATCTATTTTAGAAATAGGAAAAATAAGCTTCAAGTATTAATTAGGCAGAACAAGTCAGTAAAGAAAGTTTTTCTCCGCTAACACACCGTTTAGCCCAACACAGCTACATTAAGATTAAGTTGGGACAAAACTCCTGATGAACAAGACCAGAAATGATTTCGTGTAGTGGTCTAAATAAAGCTGTCAAATATAGACTACCTGGTCAATTTTCTCAAGATGTTAGATAACAAAGACTGAAGACTCGATTTGAAATGGCTTCAGAATGGTGACAGTCGGCCGAAACGATGGCTCTTCAAGATGAGAAATGTCGACTTGATGACGAAACTACTAAAAGTAACACTAAAACCACAACTGCAAGCTGACTGGAATTTGATGCGGGGGGTAGTGTTAAATTCTTAAAGCTCAAAAACATGCGTAACAGTTGTAAGGTGATTATCTTTAAAGACAGAAATTACATTTATCTAACCTCTTTGTTTTGGAAAGGAAGGGTTGGAAAAGTTCCACTCACAAATGCATACATATCGAATTACTGACCACAATTAGCGGAAGTGATAGAAATATTTCATTTTCAAATACCTGTTACTGCTAGATTTAAATATGAAAGCGTAAGACGAAAAACGTTTTGAATGACGATTAAGAAAATTGATAAATGATTTTATAAGCAACAGATAAGATTTGTAGCTCAAGAAGTCAGATTTTTCTGGAGATCTTGCTTAGTATACAGTTTCCCATAGCATTCTCGGAGTCATTTTCAGGGCGATTTGAAAACAATTCTCTAACAGAAAAACTCATATTACCTCACTCTTCTTCACATTCATTTACAATCTGATCAAACTTTCTAAGCTATTTAAGACTTGTACACTTTCGAAGATACACTGACCAGTTATTGTAGTTCAGTGGGATACACTTATATATTTTTTTTAAACTTTGTATCCTCTCTTATGCTTATTAATAAAACGATAAGAAAATTCAATAATTATTTTGTCTACAGGCAGTAATCTACAAAAACAAAACCATTCGGGAATAAGTCATGTATTTATTGAGCAATTTATATCAATACATTTGGTGTTGTTGTGATAACCAGAGGGATTTTACTTTAGCGAATAACATTCTCATACAACTTGCCTTAAGTGCATTTAGACAGTCACCGTAGTAGTAGTGTATTCTGTGTATTTTAACCACAGCTTTGAGCTTCCAGCTTCTTGTTATTGATTCTAGTGTCGACGACATCCAGGAAGGCCATTTGGTTGTTTCTTTCTTTCTTGCTAATGAAGTTGACTTCGGTAAGTATAGTGCTTACCATATTTTAAGTATCTGCAGTTGTAATTCTTTCTGAGGACTGTACAAAGAAAAAATTATGAGAACTGGATTTATTGCTTTGGCTATTAATGATTCCATTCGCGTCTTCTTTCCTTGTCTGCATACCTGGTTGTTTTGAATCAGAATTATGTAGATGAGGGTAATTTACTACAATAAGTTCATAATTGTTATCCTTGTATGATTTTGCAGCTGTTTCGTCCTGGGATGCAGCAGGTCGAAAGTTAGGCAGTAACTCATCGAAGAAGACATTGTGAAGTGGTCGTGCTATGTCATGAATTGGCAGAAGCTGGAATTCATGGACTGCCCAGTGGATCGGCTCCAAGTGGCTGCTGAATGATCTACGAGCTCGCCTTGTAACCAGAAGGTCCTGGGTTCGAGACCTGGCGGTAGGTGTATGCCGATGTAGAATCCTGAACTGGGAAGAAACTGCTATCCCAGTACTCTAACTGATGTCAGCTCATGATGAAATCCTCCAACCAATCAGTCAGTTTATACATTTTTTTTCTCATCAGTATTTGAATAAACTGAGAAAAATGAGTGTGAGTGTAGCCGTAGTTAGGACGGTCACTTGTACTAGTCACACTCGGTTCGCATATCTTTGGGATAGCTATAAAGTCAGAGTGGAACTAGGCTATCTGATCTCGCCTACCTCTATTTCATCTTTATTGCTTATCTTATTTTATTAGATTAATCCAGTTTCTTTGATTATCGAGTTTCTTGATAAAATTTATCCCCAGTTTATGTAGTTCTTAGTTAATTTCTTTGAAACAAATCTTGACTAGTATATCAGCCGAAACGATATTATAACGTTAACAATATAGGTTAAATACAACTTTAACAAATATATATATCAAAAGAAGCTACAGAAACTTAGCTAGTAGTACTACTAACCGTTATGAGTAGTAATAGCAGTTATTGTTGTTGTTGTTATTGTAAATCACCTATAAATGATACCTGGTAGCTAGATCAAGTTGGCATCAACACCATTAACATTTTCAAGACACGTCTGATTGAAACTTCACCTCAAACAGTTTAATCCATACAGACATAACATTCAAGTTAGATAAACAAAACAAGAAATATTCAGAATCTAACAACAGGTCATTACTTCCAATATTTGTAAACTTAAGATATTATGAAAATAGCGCTGCTTAGCATTTGAATTTCAAAGACTACTACCCACTTATCTGTCCGACTATCATCATATTGTTAAACTACAATAGAACAATTAATTGCCAAATGTGATCTTTTGTTTTGTTATTTTGCTGACTAAGCGTTATGGATACAAATTGTAAAAAAATTTCAGGCTTCATTATCTAATTGAGAATATTTACTGTTTAATGGTGTTTATTTGGTTTTCACCCTATTATGTCTACAAAAACTCTAAAGATGGTTGCTTGCCTGATCAATTGTTTCTTATTATTGTTAATTATTTATTTTGATGAAAAGATGTTGATTTCAGAGTTAGTTTTTTGCCAGAGAGAGATTTAAGCTGGCGAATCATTGGATAGCGAATGACAGTAGAAAGTTGCTTTGTTCTGGTACGAATAAGTACACAACTATGAGATATGTTACAGCAACCTATAGACAGTCAGGTTTCATGGTGAGCACGTCGTTAATCAACCATTATGTTTTGTGACTTTCGTTAGTCTTTAATGTCGTATAACCACCATCCATAATATTAGTCTTAAGCCAAAGATATTTTTAAACAGACGAGTGAGGAATTTGAAAGGTAGACACAAGGAATTCCTGGTTCATCCTTTCCCCACAACCAAAAATGTCTTAGAAAAGAAAAGAGAAACTGTATAAAACACATGATAATAATGGTGTTCGAAGAATAAACTTCTTGATAAAGTCTGAAATGCAAAGAATAAATGGGATATATAATGGAAATTTTTTATTATGCTTCTCATATCTGGAAACTTTTTAATCAATTTACAAGCAAAAAAACAGAATTCAGTTGATGCTTATTCTGATGTAGATGCCCTAAATATTTCCTTTATAATGCAGTAATCCAATATGACTGAACCTGATGTTTCTAGTCGCCTAAATGGCCATTTCCCTGGTTTTAATGAAAAGGATATATTGACATGTCTCAAATCCTGAAATCCGTCACACAGCCTAGGACTCAATGGTGTACCAACCGTTTTACTTCAAAAGTGTGCTGATATTTTGTGTTTTCCTCTTACCCAGATCTTAAATGCATCGTTTCACAGGGATACAGCACCTGTTGCCCGGAAAGAAAAAGAAGTGGTGTCTGTACCAAAGTCATCTTCTGTATCAAGTCTAAAGTTTAGGCCAATCTCCATTCTTGGAAACTATTGAGAAACTTCTGTTGCTTGCTCTTAAACCTTCTTTGAAATCTTTTAATGACCCAAAACAGTTTGCTTGCGAGTGCGGTGGAAACACATTAGATGCTGCCATTGTACTCCACCACAATATTGTTTCAATTCTTGATAAAGGCGCAAAGTTTGTTCAAGTCTCCTTTTTAGACTAAACTGCTGCCTTTGACTCTATTTCTAGGGCGCTTTTACTAAGCAAGCTGATTTCAGCAAACACTAAGTCCTGGAACATAAAGTGGCTGCCTTCTTATTCTTCGGTAGAAAATACATGCTGTTTTGAATGGAAAGCGCTTCACTTCTTTGCTGACGGAAACTGGTGTGTCTTAAGGCGCTGTAATCTCTCCATCCCTTTTTTCTTTCTTTTTGCATGACCTTGCATAATCTTCCAAAGCTAACTTCATTAAATACGCCGATGATCTAACCATTTCTGTCCCGGTAGCTTTTGCAAGGCATTGTTCATATATCAGTTAGAGAACCATTGAAAACCAGGGAGTACTGGACAGCTGTTGTTTCATCCTAGTTTGGGAATCATCGGCAGTACGCACCCACCGCCAGGGTTCGAACCCAGGACCTTCCGGTTGCAAGGCAAGCTCGTATACCATTCAGCCACTGGGACCCGATTCAATGGCTGATGAATTCTAACTTCTACCAATTCGTGATTTTAGCGCGACCCCAACTATTGTCGTTGGTGGGACATCCATCCACACACGTGACTTCTAATTGCACCTCACTGGTCACGACTTCTCACTAGAACTACAGGAAGCTCCAACGTGTAGCAAGTCACTAGCGAGCATCAACTCGTAAAACATAACTAATCCTTACAAACCAAACTATAGAAAATTGTTCATATAGTAATAGAT